AAATTATTTTTTATATGAATTATAGATTTAATTATACATATAGTATAATCTATTTTTATGAAATTAAGTAATATTATTTCTTAAAAATAATATCATAAATCCAATAATTTGAGCTGAAAATTTTCATTCCAAATCCCTCCTAATATAAAGGGTAGATGTTATTCTTTAGGTCACCTTATAAAAAAAAACCAATAATAATAGGCCGCTATGTAAAATTTTGAAGAATATGTCACACAAATTTTTTTTTTTTTTTCTTTCGGCTTTACCTTCGTTCAAAAAAAAAAAAAAAGGCTGAAAAAATGTTAATTAGACATGCAAGTCAAATACTCAAAATGTCCTTGTAAAGCGGAATTTTTTTTAAGGCATTTTAACACTTTAACACTACAAGACAACCAGATTAATCAAATTCTTATTCGGTAGACAATTTCATTTGTCATAAAACTAAATTAATAAAACAACATAGAAGCCAATCAGGTGTGGTCTGATTGATCTTCCTATTTTTCGTAGAAATGTGAGAAGTGAGAGGTTTTGAGGTCTCCCGTTCCAGTCCTCTCCACCACAAAAATTATCACCAATTTGGTGTATGTTATCTTAAAGGGAGGATTGACTCCTGCTGTGTAGCTCACAATATTATTTCAGTCTATTAGACTTCTCATGTATCCAAAAAAAAAAAAAAAAAAACAATCAGTATCCAAAACATACGCCGAACTGCAACATGGTCTAATGACGAGGAAAGGCGAAAAAAAAAACAAATATACGCAAAAAAAAAAAAAAAACAATATAGAAGAATATAATCTAATTATCGTAACTTAGACTAACAACTTTTCCCTTATCGAGCACCATAAATTTTACTTAAATTAATGGTTGAGATTTCAAATTGCAATTGAGTTATAAATAAACTAATTAGATGGAAGAAACTCAAAAAAATTGAAATGAAACTTCGTACCTGTTCAAGCAAATTTACTTTTTCCCTCAGAATCGAGATATTCAAAGCCAATGAATCTTCAGAATAATCAACAGAGACCAAATATCTTCTACCATGTAAGAAATATATTTGTGGTGACCTATTGAATGTATATAAAAAGAGAGCATATCATGAAATTAACAATACTATTATTTTAATTTTATTTAGAAATTAAGGGTCGCTATTCTGAGATAGCTTTAAATAAATATCATTTGTCCGAGTGTAGAGACACGTGTACAATAAAAATTTATTATTTTATCATACTTAAGTGATGAATGCTTTTTAGTCTATATTCGACAACCGCTTTTTAAGTAGTAGTTAAAATGTTAAACTCTATTTTTTATTATGTTCGGTAATATAGCGTTTGAACTGACCCTTGTAAATAAACTAATTAAACATAAAAAAAATTCAAAAAAAGTGGAGATGGAACTTTATACCTGTTGAAGCAGATTTACTTTTTCCCTCTGAATCAAGCTATTTAACGTCAATGAATCTTTAGAATGATCAACAAAAACCGAATATCTCCTGCCATGTAATTTTACTAAAGTAAATCTAATTGAGAAATTATTCAATAAATCCAGTAATATAAATACCAAAAAATATATATTTATGGTCACCTATCGAATCTATATAAAAGAGGAGCATGATTCATATATTAACAATATCGTTATTTTAAAATTATCAGAAACTAGGTCTGAAAATCTAGGATTGCCATTTTTAAAATAGCTTTAAAAATGAATATCATTTGTCCGAGTGTAAAAACACGTGTACGATAAAAAATTACTGTTTTATCATAGTAAGTGATGAGGCAACTGCTTTCTAAGTAATAGTCAAAATGTTAAACACTATTTTTTTATAATGTTTAGTAACATAACATTTGAATTAACTTTTAGAGGTTAAGATTAACTCTTATAAAAAGCTAACCATTGTAAATAAACTAATTAAACATAAAAAAATCGAAAAAAAAGTGGAGATGAAACTTCATGCCTATTCAAGCAGATTTATTTTTTCCCTCTGAATCGAGCTATTAAAAGTCAATGAATCTTCGGAATAGTCAACAAAAACTAAAGATCTCCTACCATGTAATTTTATTGAAGTAAATCTAATTGAGAAATTATTCAATAAATCCGGTAATATAAATACCAAAAAAATATATATATATATATTTATGGTGACCTATTGACTCTATAAAAAAAGAAAAGCATGATTCATGATATTAACAATACCATTATTTTAAATTTATTTGAAAACCAGGGTCCGACAATCTAGGGTCGCCATTTTGAGATAGCGAGTGTAGAGGCACCGACACATGTACAATAAAAATTTACTATTTTATCATAGTAAGGTGATGAATGCTTTTTATGCTATGCTGGGCAATCACTTTTTAAGTAGCAGTCAAAACACTAAACTCTATTTTCTATGGTGTTCGGTAACATAACATTTGAACTAGCTTTTAAAAATTAAAGTTAACTCTTATAAACGGTTAACCCTTGTAAATAAACTAATTAAACATAAAAAAATTTTAAAAAGTGGAGATGAAACTTCATACCTGTTCAAGCAGATTCACTTTTTTCTTATGAATCGAGCTATGCAGAGTTAATGAATCTTCGGAATATTCAAAAAAAACCAAATATCTCCTACCATGAAAGAAAGAGCCTCTTTCGTTTCTCACTACTAGTATTCCTGATTCTGGTCACTATCTAATCGGAATAAGGAAAACAAGATGGAAGAGCTGAGTGGTAAGACTCATTTACTGCATAATAAAAAAGGAAAACAAGGGGTCTAAAAGCAGCCAGTAGATATAAAATTCTCCACCTTGGAACTTTTATTCCATGTCTCTTAATCTTAGATACTATATTTGACAATCTATCTCTATTAGATAATCGCTGGACTTGCCTATCACGACATGAGAGGAGTTACCCTTGTAATGTTTGATTTATAACCGCATCTTTTATCTATCATTGAATAAGGGAAGGAAAAGAAATGCTTTCGGGCAAGCAAGGAAAATTCGTAGGTTCGAAGTAGTTCGTTCCTCGTCTCGCATATCTTAATTAATCAGTCCCATTAGGCATTAGGAATTGCAATTAGCTCTTTCCTGCTACAAGTATAATTTTACTAAAGTAAATCTAATTGAGAAATTATTCAATAAATCGGGTAATGCAAATACCGAAAAAATATATTCACGGTGACCTATCGAATCTAAATAAAAAGAGGAGCATGATTCATGATATTAACAATACCATTATTTTACATTTATCTGAAAATCTAGAGTTGTCATTCTGAGATAGCTTTAAATGGATATCGTTTGTCTTAGTATAGAGACATGTGTACAATAAAAATTTACCATGTTATTATAGTTCAAGTGATGAATTTTTTTAGGCTGTATTTGAGACAATTTTTGAAGTAGCAGTCAAAACGTTTAGTGTTCAATAACATATCGTTTGAATTAACTTTTAGAGAGGTTAAGATATCGTTTAACTTTTATAACGTTTAGCTTTTAGCGTTTTATGAAAAGCTACTAAAACAACAATGGCTAAATGCTACCAAAACAATTAATTTTACCGAAGAAACTCTTAGAGGAATTTCGATACTTAGTCTATTTTTGAAAAAACAGATAAATTTTTGTTGCATATAAGGTTGAAAATAATAAATAAAAGAAATGGAGTGGGAAATGTACATAATTATAAAAGTATTTACAATAATTCAACCATTTCATTGTAGATCTTATAATAATAAATGATATGAATTGTCAGATTTCCACATAGTACATGATAAAACATAATTTCTATGTAAACATTGTAGCTTTTTGAGAAATTAATGATTCAGATTTTCTTTTAATGACAATGTAAACATTAAAGGTAAGATAGCATCAGGGAGATTTTACTAACTAAAAAACAAAATATTATATGTAAGTACAAACTATTTCCCAAATATAATGTCTCCTTACCAAATAATTATACAAAGAATACTTTATTATGTTATTTCAGATATTTCTTTCTTTCTTAAAATTAGCAAAACATTTATTGGAATGTTGGCACTTGTAATTATTTAGCAAACAATTGATTTTTTTTTTAATAAAAAGTGGCAAGTTAAAAATAATAGGTTTATAAATACTTTTTTTCCAAGAAATACTTCTAAAATTATAAACTTCAAAAATAAATTATTTAAAATATTAAAAAATGAGTATAATTTTTTATTCAACATATGGCTAAAACATTTGCAGTGTATTTATGCAATTAAATCATTATATTTTTTAATGTAATATTTTTTTAATTAAGACAATTAAATTAATTTAAACTCAAATATTTGACTTAAAATTCCTTCTTTCTTTATAATATATAGTTATATTATATATTGATCGCAATTTGATGGATCTATACTAAGCCATTATATGCTTATTAAATGATCTAATTGCCCCTTCAAAAAAAATCAAAGTATTTTGGATAATTCTACATTGAAAAATATAAAAATTGATTACTATATATGTTTTATAATATTTGTCTCGTTCGGAATTTCACGTCCTTTAAAAAATTATAAAATTTGTCTAAGTTATAATAAATTATTAATTAGATTGACTATATTATCTTTAATTTAATATTAATTCTTTAAAAAAATTATTAAATTAAAGTAATAATTATCTGTCATATATAGAAAGGATAAATATGAAAAAAAATATTTATTATTCTTTAAAACCACAGATGTAACAAGTATTTTGAAAAAATTATTTTTTTAAATGTGATAAATATTATAGAACAGAGATAGTAAATGACGTATATCGAGAAATGTGAAGAATTCTGTGTTGTATTAAAGGTAACCCAACTTATTATCAGCCTAAATTCTTAAATAAATCGACAGTGAATTTGATTAATGTGTAGCTTCTGTACCATTAAGTTTGACTTCAACCCAAACACGACATGAATCCATTTATTCATTATCCGAATCCATTCATCAGATCGGGTTAGGTACCCGTTAAAACCCGACCCGTTACATCCTGTCTCCTCTAATCCTCTGTTTGGGCTTTGATATTACTGAATTAGCTACGCGATAAGAACCATGCAGACGCGAAGAGCCTTGAGTGGTAGGCGCAGCTCCAGCTCCAAGAAAAAATGATGCTTAATTGAAGTACAGGAGGTTCTGGTTTGGCCTTCAGTAATCGATTACTAAAAGCTCAACTGGTGCAATCACTAATGTCGATATACTTCTCTTACTACAGCTAGAGATTTGAGCAGCGATGCCCTTTGTAATGGAGGTTCCTGTATTCACAACTTTCAAAGCAGTTTCTCGCGTTCCTGATTGTCCTCCATCTTCACAATGCGTCTTGTATGGCCGCTTCTTTGGAGGCGGCGTAAAGTTGAGTAAGAGATTCAATTGTAGAAAGTATAAGTTCTCTCTTCGAATTTCGATGAGTTTAGAAAATAAAAATGGTGGAGAAGATAGAGATGGAGATGGAGTGAGATTTTTGGGGAATTCTCAGTTCGTGGAAGTGATTGGTATTGGAAGCAGAAAGGATGCTGTTCTTGATTTCTGCTGGGAATCGCCTTTCCAGTTAACATCGTCTTTGCGATTCTGGTAAATGCCCAATTGGTTCCTGTGTTTTGGTTTGTAATTTATGAATTTGCATTTCTTATTGAAGGTTAGTACTAAATATGTCTTCATATAATGCCTTTGAATTGCTTCGAGTTCCCAACAAGTTCGCTCATTTTTAGTCCATAGGGTATTCTGTTTTTACTTTCAGTGCAAGAGTTCTTTTGAAATGCCTCTTATTCATTAAGCTATGGGCAAATCAATTTTTTCGCAGGAATATTCAAGTCAAAGATCCTCTGAATGTTCAATTACAAGAAAGATTTCTTGGACAAGGTTCACGTTTTCTCAGTGTTTAGTTCATGATTCTTTCTACTTAGTTCTTTTGAGTAGTTTATTACTATGGTATTCTTGTGGAGCTATCTGATTCTTTCTTCGTTTGCTAATTCTTGGTCCATTTGGAATCAATGTTTTCACCACTGAAGAAATTGTATTTCATCTTATGTTGGATTTTTTGTGTTACCAGTGGAGCTACCTTGCGCTCTATTCTATTTCCCTCCTCTTCTCCTTTTTATCATGAAAGAAGAAAATGTGTCTCTGTATTACTCTTTTCATATCACGGTAATACATAGACTAGTCCTAATTTTTCAATGCCTCTTTGTTTATTTTTGCAGATCTTAATCCAAGGATTTTGGAACCATCTCAGTTTCTGCAGTCATGTTCAAGGGCTATTATCCTTGTTTGTACATTCCTCACCTATCAGGCTCATATTATGAATAATATGAATTCTGAGGCTGTCTTTTGATTAACCTAGACTAATTATTAGGCTGTCTTTTGTTAGAGCCTTAGAGGAAACGTTGTACAAGTGCAATTGTAATGAAAAATCAAGATTCACAAAATGAAAATCTGAAAGACAAATGATGGATGGACTCTAATATTATTAACATAAGTACAATAGTGTTGCTTATCCATTAATGGTAAAGCATCACTGTAACATTTTTCCATCTTTCTGTGAATGCTGTAATTCTCTTGATATACATATTAGGGTCATTGTGTGATTAAAGTATTATCACTAAAAGTAACGCATGTATGTTTTATATGCATGTGTAGGTGAAGTGTGAACCCAAAACGTTTATAAATCCTAGGGTACCTGCATTTTATGCTACTCAGATTTTGTCTCTTTGATAAATAACGTGTTCATGTCATACCTATATCCTGAATCTGAATATGAATCTGAACTTAGTCAATCTTCCCCAGCACTTTCTGATCTGGGTGGTATGGAATTGAGATCTGAATTTTCTTTTCTTTTCTTTTTCTTTTTTTTTTCCCCTCTTTTGCATGTTTGCTTTTGGGCATGCTAGGTGGCTAGTGCAGGATATGGCTCGGATCATGTTGCAGCAGTTGATCTACTTAAAACAGTGAAGTCCAGAAATGGGTTTGCCATTGCTATTTTTCTGAGACCTTTCAGCTTTGAAGGAAAAAGGCGCCAAGATGAGGTAGGGCATACTTGGGGAACTGTTGATATGGCTTGCTTCTATATAACAAAGAATAAAATAAACAAAAAATATAAAAAGAATCCGCTAGAAGACATCCTATTTTACTTTTTTCATCTTCTATGCTAGAATCAAATGTTGATGTTTTGAGCCAGCTTGGAACTTGAAGTTGATACTATGTGTCCCACTTTATAGATCGATTATTGTTGTAATATTTTATTGGATGGGATTTGGATCATGCTCAAGAACTAATAATCGAAGGGCATAATTCTGGACTTCAATTGTTGGTAGTTATAGGAAACTTCAGACAAGATCTATTCTAGGTAGGTCCATAAATGCAAATGAAGTTCCAATACATTATCCATAAGTTTGTTATAAATTTAACTTCCAGTTAACAGTACAAATTCATAATAATATCAAGGAAAAAAAATATGTTGTTAAGTGTTCCTTTGAACTCAATTAAGCTAAATCTTAACCAAAACCAATTCAAGTTTTTGATGTGAATTCTTATCCTCCATTCCATCCTGTCTGGAGATAAATTCCCACATTGGTAATTATCATCACTTTAAAACAAAACACTGTCCACTCCTTATGACAAGTATTACTTTAATTTAAGTGTCCATGTGAGAGAAAGACACCTTAGATGGTATGGTCATGGATTATGTAGACCGCCACATGCCCTGGTTCGTAAATGTGATACTTTAGTAGTGGAGGGTGCTAAAAAGGGAAGAAGTCGACCTAGAACATCTTGGATGGAAGCGGTCATGAAGGATTGGCAATCTTTAGATATTAGTGAGGATATAGCTATGAACAGAATAGAAAGGAGATAAAAGACATGTAATAGTCCTTAGTTAGTTATCATCGTTTATTTTATACTTTGTTCTATTTATTAATGTATCAAATGGTTTTAAAATTCTCCTTCGAAAATCTTTTTTACAAAAAGTATTTCAAAATTTTTTTTGACTAACTTTGCTTTGCATTGATATTGATTAGAGTGAATATTGGAACAAAAGATTTATATAGCCGACCCCAGCTAGTTTGAGACTAAGGCTTAGTCGTTGTTGTTGTCCATATAGGTTTCTATCGTGCTTCACTTTTAAGCTAGTCAAAGTTGTGATACGTTATTTATTTGGTGTTCACTTGTTCTTCAGTTTGTGCTCAATTGACTTTTAAATTCATTTCTAGATGGTATTCTCTCCCCTGCCTCATTGTTGAGTTTTTGCCTTAAATTATAATTTGTTGCTCCACTTTGCAGTTGGAAGATTTGGTAGGAAAACTTCAAGAGCATACAAATTTTTGCATTGGTGAGTGATGTGTTTTATCTTTTGATAACAAGATATTTTGGTGATAAACAGAGTTTTACTCATATTGGGGATGATGGGGATAATTGCCTTTTGGGGCTTTGATACTCTGTATTATGTTTCTATTATATGTGCTCTTGAATTGATACTTGAATTATATAATTTCAGTATCCACCTTTTGACTGTGTTTGTTTGTAAGGAAATGTAGCTGTAAGATAAAGTTTCCTCTATGTATCTGTCCATGCACCATCCTATTGACTTGATACACTTTCCTTCCTCTCTTACATAGTGGAGGTCTAAATCTCACAGTTTTCACTTGTACTTGAGTTATTATTAATGTGCATGTTATGCGTTGAGGATTATTTAATTAATAACAGTAGGAATCAAAGGAATTTGCAAATGAGGTCTGGATGTACTTTGTTCAGTGTGATAACTTCTTGAAATACAAGCTGCTGATTACATGAACGTAAAAGCAAAATACTGTTTCAGCGCTCATTGCTGTTTTCAGTTAAATTTTTTTGCCTCAATATCAAAAGTATACGATCACTTAAGGAAATGGTGCTACTAGTAAATTAATAAGCTGAAAGAGGACTGTCTTGTTTCTTGTAATTCGCAGATATTGACACTGACACACTACTCAAAAAGGATTTGGTCACTCTAGATGAGGCTTTGAAGACTGCAAATACTGCTGTTTTGTTAGCCATAAATGCCATCTCAGTTCTCATCTCAGTATGTATATCTTCTGTTTTGCTGCCAAATTTTCCGTTGTACTTCCTGTGACTTGGCAATTTCTGGGAAATTTTCAGGAGATGCACCAGAAAGTAATTGGTGTTCTGCATAATAATGTTAAAGAACTCGAGGTTTCAGACATTATAAAAGTAAGGGTTGATGTCAATGCAAGTTAGTGATTTAGATTATTTCTATATCTTTACTGCTGTTTTGGATTCAGGCTTATCCATTTATTGTGCATTCTTATTTCTAATATAACTGATGGATGCATGAAGAAACTTGAAAATATAACTTTTCTTTTTCCTAGACTTTATTGTGTTTCTTTTCCTATTTATATTATGGTGCTGCTTGACCATTGTTGGCTAATGCAACCATATGCAGATTCTGGAAAGCTACAAAGAAGCAAAAATTGGATTTGGAGCTGGTAACAGCATTAAAAGTTCAATTTTACAGGCTCTATACGACTCCCCTTTCATTGGTGCTGGTTTAGAGGTATGATTAAAGTAAACTTCAGAGAATAATTATGCAGTTTTCAATTTAATCAAAGTAGATTGCATATTATGCATCCTAGAAACAGTTGCTTTCTTTTTGTTATCTTAATTACTGTCTCAAATTTTTCTTATCTCAAGTCATTTTTACAAGAACTAAATAACCATTCTTTCTTGTGGAAAATTTGTGCTACTATTCTAATGCCTGCCCATATAATTGATTTGTTATCTTGTACAGAATATTAATGGCATCATCATATGCATCATTGCAAGTTCGGGTTTTATCGAAAATGAAGATGTCAATGCTCCTTTGCTTACTTTTCAGCAATCCGCAGAGTATACTGGGGAAATTATTATTTCTACAATTCATGAACCTAACCTGGATCCCAACATGATAGTAACAACAGTTTTTGTTGTAGGGTAAGAATCCTTGTTTTAGAAGATACAAATGCTAAGTGATGAACTCTTAATTTGCAGTTGGTATATGTTGAGAGTTTTAATACCCTTAATACTGTCTTCCAAAAGTTTTAGATTGTATCATTCTTGAGTTGACTTAGTTCAGGCGACAAATTTACCTCATATAATCTCAACATTTTATTGACATATGAGAATAGTTCATAATATCTTAGACATCGAGAAATCGTAACAAATTTTTCCTTCTAGACCGTTCTTATGTTAATTATAAAAATGTAAGAAGGGTTGGTCTTTGCAATTTTAGTTGTTGCTGTTCATTATTTATTGCTTGCTTTTATGGTCTTTAATTTAATTGTTGGACTTCCTTGCTGCATCTAGTGTTTGGCTGTCCAATGACTAAAATGTGCTAATTTTCAGTTTCAGATTATGAATCAAATGTTTGGCTGGGTTGTGGATTCTTGTTAATATGTTCTGATGTAATTTTTATGTCAATACCAGTTGCAACAAAGTGCAGACTCCTCAGAGAAGTAGCTTATTGTCCAGACTGGCCAAGCACTTCCCGTTCTTTTTTAATATTTTAAGGGGACACCACAAACAATCGGATAAAAATGAAGGAATCAACGGACTTGAAGACGTTCCCGAGACAATAAATTCACCAGACTCTGGTGCAATGGAAAGTAAAGTTGCTATAGACAGTACCACCAATGATATTGATGAACAACTAGAGGAACATGATACACTGCCAAGCAACAATTACTATGATATCTATGGGTCAAGGTCTGGTTGGTTCTTCTGCCCATAGCTTTGACCTTTTAGTTACTTTGAAATTTCTCTGCCAAAGACGAGCCACCAATTTTCTGAACTTCTCTCTCCCTCTCTCTGCATCGTTTTTCTATGTCAGGAGTTACAACGATGAAGATGAAGACAATGAGATTGACTTTTTAGATACTAGGATGGAGTCCTCTGATGATTATGATCAAAGTACTGAAGGTAGCACCAAAATGTTACTTTGAGTTATTTTTGTATCATTGCTTTGCAATTCCATCTGCCATGGTGTACATTTGACAGCCATCATTAATTTGTTTGTATAATTCTGTTCATATTATATTCTGTAGAAACTCCTGCTCTCCAAAGGAAGCCACTTGCTAGTTGGAACTTGGGACCAGGATATCAGATTGCACAACAGTGGGCCAAAGAAAGAGCTGGAGCTTCTTCAATGCTTGACAACCTAAGCATCTTCTGCCTTCCAGTTGGTGTAAGGCCTTCAGGAGAGTTTAAAGAGGGTCTGAATATCTCATATTCTGCAGAATTCCCAGATCCAAAAGTTGAGGATGTTGTCAAAGAACACAAGCTTAATTCCAGCATCTCTTCTTGGGGTGCATTGACAGATGCAGGTTTTCTGTTAGTAAGAGATTTTTATAATAATGCATCTACAACGTTAAGGGGTAGAAATGCTGATGTACCCAAAAAGCAAGGAGTTCTCTCTGTTCGTGCAGCATCCATGCTGGTAATCTACTCATTATACAATATAAAGTTGTTGCACTTTTTACACCTTAGATTGTTTTGCAATAGTTATAACTTATTTCAAAATTTCAACACAAAAAATGATATTTATAAGACCTGTCTATCCTTTATTTAAACCATTTTATGACTTACATCATATGTTGAAGGATAGTCTGGGAAATATATGCAGTTTGAGCATCTTTTTTCACAGAAATAAATAAGTGACCATTCATCAGTTCTCTTTTCTCTCTCTTACATCATCCTTTTCTTTCTATCTCTTTTCTAGTTACCAAACAGCGGTAGAGGCCCTTGATGTCCAGAGGTCCTAACAAATTATATATTTTCTTCTTGATATTTTGGTGCTAAAAAATTTAACCTAATGAAATATATATGATATTCTAGTTTTTGCTGGTGCATCTAATATGTACTTTTCAGCACTAGGAATTTTGTTCTGATTGTCTAGTTCCATGCAGGAAGCTGAGCGAGATTCCCCAAAAAGGTGGAGACCTATTAGGGAGATGCAGTACAGGGGAGGAGTATATAGAGGGAGATGTCAAGGAGGTCTTCCTGAAGGAAAGGTACTAAGCTATCTCTCTATTAACACTTTGGCGAAACTTTGTTATGGAGGATATTTGTCTTGGTAGTTTTTTTTTTTTAAAAAAAAAAATCAAGTGCCAGTTTCTGAGTCAATTTATACAGGGTCGGCTTATCCTTGAAGATGGAAGCATATATGATGGTATGTGGCGTTATGGTAAGAGATCAGGTCCAGGTGCATTCTACTTCAGCAATGGAGATGTGTTCCAGGGGTCATGGAGGGATGATGTGATGCATGGCAAGGTCTAATCTCCTCCTTTTCCCTTTAAACTTTTGAGCGATAACTTCTGAATTAAGATGGCACAGTGTGATCAGCTGTATCAATTTATATCATGTCATATTTTCTGTATTTATTTGTGACAGCATATTTCTTTGCCAAATTATTCACCATTGATTCTTAATCATTGCATTAAAACCACGTCTTGTTGCTTCTCTAGCACGGCTGCCTTTTTTTGGGTCTGCTCATTTCCTTTTCAGAAGATTTTTAGGAAAGTCAATGGAAAAGAAATAAATAAATATATATATGAATGCATGAAAATGCTTTTGGGGGATGAACTACACCTATTACACTTACAGTAGGTGGTTATGGATAACACTGTAGTATTGGAAATGTTGTAGAAAGTTTTACTAAAGATAATAGAGGCATTACTCTAAAATAAGCACATGGCATATGCATGCAGGTGCACACACATCAACAAACACAAAAAACTGTGCATGTTTATTTATGTACATACATGTGCATGCATATCTATCTTTGTTTCAGCTTCTGACATGGTGGTCATTCTCCTATGTCCTGTATCCTTGTCTTGTTTTTGTCCCGATTTGTACTAGTTATGAGGTCAGTTCGCTGTAGCTGAATTTACTGCAATGTTTCCCTACATCTATTGCTGCAAATTCTGTGGTGAACCTTTTATTATTGGTGATGGAAACAAATAAATTTTCTCATATGAATTCAAGTTAAACGTTTGACACAATGTAGGGTTGGTTTTATTTCCACTCGGGAGATCGATGGTTCGCAAACTTTTGGAAGGGAAAGGCCAATGGTGAAAGCCGTTTCTATTCAAAGTCTGGTGAAGTCTTTTTTGGCCAATTTCAAGATGGGTGGCGACATGGCCACTTTCTCTGTATTGATGTTGATGGGGCAAGGTCAGTATTCATTTCATTATGAATGCGTATATACTGAAAATGTGTTGACCATCTACAGATGGCATTCAAAGTTTAATCACACTGCTTGTATTAAATATGTGTGCACTGTGCACTAGTCCATTTAATATTTAATTGAAGGAATATTACAATGGAAAAGGCTTCGAATGTACGAGGTGTATTCTACCTCTGCAGTTTCAGCATTGCTGCCTGGTGTATGCTTATATTTATCACATCAATGCTTTGTGATTACAGGCGTGTTGAGACGTGGGACGAGGGTATTCTTGTAAGCTGGAAGCGTCTGGACTCTGATAGTGATGCTGGATGAAAAAATTACATAAATCATTTATTTTTTTTTAAAAAATCTCTTTTTACCTTTATTTGTATATTCCTTATCTATTTCACTTGCTAATTAGTAGATGTTTTGCAGGCATGCTGCAATCCTCAATTTTGGATCTTTGGTAATAAGTTTTTAGTGTTGCTCTGAGTCTGTTTATTGTTGTTTGGTTGTTTACATGTTGGGACTAGGCTGATAATTTTTTTTTGGGTGGAACCTCCGGATTAATCCCACTTGGCGTATACAGCGTCGCATATGATTCTGTTATACAGCCCGATTCAGCACTCGTGATTAAAATTTTTTCGCTTCAATTTTACACTTGACATAGTCCGTTATTGGGCTTCCAGAATTATTTTTGCACTTCTGATCTGTTAAATTTTCAGCATTTAAATTTCTTTTATTTTTAGTATCGACAAAATCTTTTGATTAAAACTTCTAGCTAGTAGTTATATTTAATTAATTGCATGTGAATTATATTATTATATAATCCTTCCGTCTCATTTTTTCTGTATAGTTTGACAATACACATTAAAAATTTAGTCAATAAAAATTATTTTCTCCTGTTTTACCTTTAACTTATTTATAAAAGTCATTTATTTAATATAGAATCATAAAAGTTATCATGGGAAAATAATTGTTTATATATATAAATTTATAAACTTTATAAACATTTTGAAACATCAAAAAAGGAATAACAAGTAAACAAGATGAACGGATACAGTATATATTTAAAAGGAATGTCAAAGCACTCTTCTCGTGAGAGTGTTTTTACATTTCTACCCTTAGATATACATAATATCATTAATTATATTTTAATCCCATAATGTTTCTTAATATCTTTTTATTATTCTTTAATAAAATTCTTGCTACAATACTATTTTACCCATTTAATCCTTTGACAGTTATGTAATTACATTCATGTCCAATATTATTTCTCTATTTAATTTTTGTACCATTAATTTAGATAAAAAAATTATTAATGACTAACTTTCTTCGTTAATATAACTTATTTCTGTACGTTTTTATTTTTTAAAATGCAATTAATCAATAAATGTCATATGTCTTCCCTCATAATTTGAAAATCTTTAGAAGGTAAAATTACCATACAAAATTTAAAAATTTTATATTAATGCCGAAACTATTTTTACCATTAGATTTAAAGTAGTTAAATATAAACCATTAGATTCAAAATGGCTCTAATAACTTATTACGTATATAATATGTTATCAAAAACAAAATATTTATTTTCATTATTAAATATAATTGTCACCATTTAATTGTATAAATAAAAAGTTTACTCTTTTCGACACAATTATAAAAATAAAAGTTTTAAAGATCAAATAATTATCTAATATATCAAATTTTATTAGCCCAAAATTTATTTATGTTATTATTAAAACATTTATCATGTGTTTATGCAATTGAAATTATATTATATATACATGAAATCCTATTGCCATCTTAATAGAATAGTTTTTAATTAATAAAATTAAATTATATAATAACTTAAATATCTGACTTATAAAATCTCTCACTTTTGTAAAGTCTAATTATATAAATTGAACCATATAAATAATATCTTATGACTTCTTATTAATTATAGTTTTTACTTCAAATTTGTTTATATTTTTTAAAATAATACATTATATATTATATCAGAATTAATACAAAATTTTAAATTTTTGAACATTTTAATAAGGTATTAAAATCATTTGTAATTTTTTATAAAAATAATTATCTAAAATTATTGTTTGTTATGCTTAAAAGTTTTTTCTAGAATTCTATATTTACATTAAAACCAATTTGTTAATAATTTTTTTGTACGTAAAATAATACAGTTCATATCTCATATAAAATTATTGATACGTAAGGATTTATTTTTATCTTCAAAATAAAGTTCTTCACATTTTATAGGAAAAAAGAACAAGGAAAATTTATGAGAAAAAATTTAAAAATTTTGATAAAATGAACATATAATTGAATTTAACAAGTATTGATTACTTGCAATAGTAGGTTAAATTTGACAAATGGCACAAAAAGAGATGGGTGCAAAATTTTGAAATTCTGGATCGTAGAAGAAACCATTTTTAGAATTTGAAAATTTTAGTAGTTCATGTATATACATATTATTGTTAACATTAATTACTCTCAATATATCATTTGCAACAAATAATTATCCATCAAATATTAATTATTAAATATTGATAATAGTTTTTTAATAAAATAATATTATTTGATACCTTATCTAAATCCAAGAATAATAATATGTATATGAATTTATATTTTTATGTCCTTTTTTTATCTAAATTGATTCAAATTAAAATTGTAAAGATAAAAAATTAATAAACATTAGTTTTGATTTTATTTACATAAATTGCCCATTTTCATTTGAGAAATATCATATATCTAATAGATTTACATTAAAAGACTTTTATTTTGTATATGAATATTAAAAAATTGTAATTGAGATATTAAATATATAAAATATTAATTTTACTCAAAACAATGAGTTATAAAATTATAATGAATAAATTACTTAAAGATAATAGATACAACATAAATTTTGACCTTTATCATATTTAAATGTACATATCAGTTAGTATAAATTTTAAAAAAAACAAAAAAATTTTTTTACTGTTTGTAGTACCTCATTTATTTATTTGTGAACATTATGAATATAAATTGTCTTTAATTATTATCTAAATAATAAATTAATGATGAAATTAATTTCATTAATTATTATTGTTGTTTTTTAAAAATATTTTAAAATTATTATATATTGACAAGAAAATTGCATTGTTAAAAAATTTATAATGAAGTTGTGTCAATTAAGACAAACGATTATATATGTACAAGATAATACCAATATACTATTACAGTTTCTTATATAATTACATATACAAGATAATGTCAATATATTATTTATAACGTTGACAAGTTAAATTATTATGTACAAAGTCAATATGTACAAAGTCAATAAATATAAAATATCGTGTATAAGTTTTTATTATAAAGTATCATATTTCATTATATCAGGACAATTTTAAAATTATATTTATAAATATATAATTTATTATAATTAACCTGCGCATAGCCCGGACTCTTTTTAAACTGCATTAAGTTATCTAGTTAGTTATGTCATTTAACAACATAATTTGAGTGTAGAAACAAAACAAGTCATTCTCATTAATACAATGTATCTAGTAGCTTTACAGTTGCTCAAAATTTAATCAACTCAGTAGCTAGTTATTTAATTAGCTTAAGCTAAGGTCAACTTCTCAAGAAGTTTCAGCAGTCTTTTTCCGTTGGAAATAAGAAAGTCTTCAAGCCTCATAGCAATAAGCTGTTCCTCAGAAAGAGGAAAGTTGTCATAATGAACTTTCTTGATTAAGAAACTCCTGAAGATCTCACATTCATCAGTTGAATGCAAATCTGTCAAGTGCCATCTACAAAACCTCTCCAATCCATCGCGGTATATCGGAAACCCCAAGACACCAGAACTCGCCATGTCATTGAACAAATTAATGGCAGTAGTAGTTTTCCAAGATGTCTCTGCCTGCATAAAATGCAAGTTAATACATTCATATCAACCTTATATCAGAGGAAGAGCATCTTTCTCTTACCAGATTTAACAAGTAATGTTTGTTCTTTCGGATGTATTCTCTTGATAATAAATCAGCCTGCGGTTAATAAAAAGAACATCAATCATTATGAACATAGGCTTTCAAATAGTACTAGGTTAGTTCTACCTGTCGGACAGGCTCCGGCAAATGATACTTGCGAGTGATTTTCGCAATTTTGATGGCGGTATCTAGCGATACACGATGACCAATTGAAATATATATGGGATCAAGTGATCCTCTTGTTGATCTCATTGCCTGTTATTAAAGAGAAATTAGAAAAAAGGCATAAAATTAGATGCAGTATTGCAGTGTACTTGAATATACAAAACTAGATGTTATGGTGATGAATCTCTTACTGCTCCCCATATACACCCGGAATTTCCAGTCAATTTAACAAAATCTTCAACTCTTCCTCTGGCTTGAAGAAGGTCTCTCACTTCTTCTTCATTAAGACCATCCACATAGTGCAGCTGAAGCACAAGAACTCAGAAATATGTCATCATTAAACATTAAAATAAAGGAAAAATATTGGCTTGTTTTTGGACAAGGGACTTGATTATTAGTATACTCAGAACTTACATTCTTTCCCACCCCAATGGTGGGAAGATTTGCGAGAACACCTAGATGACAAGCCAAGCCAAAACCTGTATATTTTGCGAAGAAGCACCTAGATGACAAAGCCAAGCCAAACCTGTATTTTATATATATATATATATATATATATATAAATTTTTGGTTAACAAATAATTTTCCAATGTGAAAAAAGTATCGTGAAAAATGTTTCATAGTAGAGATTGTGGGTTGACAAAACATATTAGCAAGTTAAACAAAGGGACAAAGGTTCAAGTCTTTTTGCTTATCTGCATACTCTCGTACATAAAAAAATTTTCTCCTATTACGATAAATTATATATATTATATATAGAGAGAGAGAGAGAGAGACCTTGTCCTCGAAGGATGAAGCATATATATATATAATTTTTGGTTTAACAAATATTTTCCAATGTGAAAAAGTATCGGTGAAATGTTTATAGTAGAGATTGTGGGTGACAAACATATAGCAAGTTAAACAAAGGGACAAAGTTCAAGTCTTTTTGCTTATCTGCATACTCTCGTACATAAAAAATTTTCTCCTATTCGATAAATTATATATATATATATAGAGAGAGAGAGAGAGAGACTTGCCTCGAGGATGAAGCATGCCATTTCCATCCACCATTATCACCTGTTAGCAAAGACCATAGAAAAATGGCAGAACATACAAAATGATTTTTTGAAAAAAATGCAATTTTTTAGTGTATACGAGAGAGTCACCTGCGGGTAGTAAGGATTTCGACTGTTTTTCATTTTCTCAATAAGTGGTAAAAGTATTGGCACCTAACACAAGAAAATATATATATATATAAAGACATTAAATCAGCATAGCTATTCTGCTACAATTTGCTTCAAAGTGGCATAAAAAACTAGAAAAGAAATGACAATCACATAAAATAGAGTGAAGGGTTTAAAATACTAGTAAAGCAAAATTAGATTGTTTTCAAAATTGAATGAGAAATTGCAAACCTCTCTAAAGGCAAGAAAGCCAGCAATATAAGGGACACGGAGACGAACAAGAGAGTAATCTTGATAAACAACTCGAAAACTTTGAAGATCCAAAACAATGAGTGATCCACATGCAACAGATGGGTCTTCTTTCAAGAAACTCACATCAACCCCACCCACATACTTCAACAAAACTTGATCACCACCATTTTTATCAAGAGTGGCATTGGTTCTTGATGCTGATGTGGGTAGTTTCCAATCAAAATCATCCTCCTGGATCAGTTCTCTTTTAAGTGAATATTGTGTCCTGCAATCAAGAAATAGCCACGTCAAGAATCAATAAACAAGACTTTAGGGTTGAGAAAGTGATGAAAAACCTACTGTAGCCAGCTGGGTGTCTTTGATATTGATGGCGAGGATGATCCTTCTCCTCCTCGATACATTTTTACAGAAGTTAATTGAGATTTTGATTTTGAATATTTGATAAAAATGTCTGTAAAATTGCCATTTTTGGTCTCAGTCTTCAGAAGTCGAGCAAAGTATTAGCCATCAGTTCTTGCTACCTTCCTGTTAAATGTGGCGTCTTGACTTTCCACTTTTCAGTCGTTGAAGTTCAGAGGTTGCTTTACTTTACCTTCCTATTAAGTAAACTCATTTTCTTTTCCTATATTTTCTTTCCAAAGAAAATCTAACGACTATTTTTTTTTTTTATATTTGTTTCTTTCCCCTTTAATACAGTTCAGTGATTGGGTTACACTTGTGCAAGTTAATCCTGTCATTTTATACATACATGCAAGGTTATTTACGATTTCTATTTCCTAAGAATTTCTTGGTGGGGTTTTCCATTAAAGGTCTCCTAGTTTTCTGTCTCGCCACAGCAATACAGGGGACGTTGCTGTTTACGAACTTTCCTGACTTGCTACGATACACTTTGTCAATACGTACATTTTACTACGTAACAAAAAGGACAAGCAGCACTAAGAAAGCCAGTACTATTTTTTTTTATCCACAATCTGTTGTCCATGTCAACATTTCAATAAGATTTATAGTCTGAAATAATTTGGTAAAAATCATTTTACTATTATGTTATATAAATTGAAGTTACATTATTTATTTATTACAAATTGAATTAGTGGTAAATTGAAGAAACGAAGAATGAAATTAACTCAAACTTTCCCTTGAAAGACTATTGAACGGGAACTTGATATGGGCAGCTTTAATTGCAAGACCATATTTAAGCGTTCTACTCAGGCTACTTGTTGATTCAAATTAGTGAAATACATTTCATAGGAAACTATTTCAATTTCTTATAAGATCTTTATATAATTATATGTTACGATAAAAGTTTGATACACCACGGAAAGTGGAAACACAGAATGGATCTGGAATAAGTACAATTCTTTCCAATATACACACTCTCACCTGCACTCAAGCCAACACGATTTTGTTTTTTCACAACACAATGTTATGAAATTTCCAAGAATCTAAAATGTGAAGAACACAATATTTTACAATCACAATGGCGTACAATGTGGAAAACGATATCCCTGCAAGAGAGAGAGAGAGAGAGAGAGAGAGAGAGCGAGAGAGAGAGCGCAAGATAAAAGATCAAACAAAAGTTTGAAGCAGATGTTGCAAGAATTGAGGAACTATAATCTTTGAATTCTCTCCCTGCAATTCCATCTAATGAATCCAAGAACAACATCATTTAAGTTAAGTTCATGGCATAAAAGCTATCCCTGCATAAAGCATTAGCAAACTGCAAAGTCACCACATCATTAACCTTTCATTAATGGTAAAGCATGCTTTCAAATATATTGTTACCTTTTCAATCATGCAACTCCTTTCGTACCCAGGCATACTCACGATTGTTTTCCCAGTTGCACTGCAGTAAAAGTCAATGCCAAAGGTATTTTCAAACATCCCTATTCCACAAGGGGAAAACTGGAAGAATCAAATTAATGCTTTGGTTTCTGTTATTAAAAGAGGCAAAAGAATCCTTACCCGCCCTCTTCCTCTACCTTGCCCTATAAATCTTCCTTTGCCCCTACCTCTATCATATCCTCTCCCATTAGACTTTGCTTCCTCTATTTTCTTAATTTGTCCGCTCTCTTGCTCTCTCTGTCCTTTCCCTCCCTTATCAACTTCTCTTTTTTCTTGCCATCGTCCCCCTCCTCTCCCTTGGCCTCTACTTCTCCCTTGCAATGTACCTGGGCCTATTTCAGCTAAGCCATTTTGCCCTTCACCAGGGTTTTCACTCTGTCAAAACACACAAAAAGTAGAGATTAGATAAATCGGATATAGTTAATTTAAATTAGAGTATTGGGAAAAAATGTTTAATTGACTGAGAAAATGCGATGGTTCCTAATTGTTTAAAGTACAATTCACTTGGCACATCATAAATCTAGCAAGTCCGTGGACCATGGCAGTGACTAATGCACAAAGATTTTAGCATAAAAGAATGTTTTTTCCAATTTAGATAACAATTGGTTAACTAACAAAGGACTGGCACAAGCAGTCTCACAGCACAGTTGAGATTGGCAGGCAATGCAAAGCCTATGGCGTAAGAAGAACAAAATGGCAAGTCATGTGGAAGCCATGCAAGTGCTTAAAGAAAGTGCCACAGTGGACATGCTTCTAATTCATGATCAGCTGCTAAAAGCATGGTCTAATGAAGTAACCAATGAGCTTAATTCAGCTTTGATCAGCCTCTCAAAAATTGGAGCAGTCTTTTTTCCATCAGAAACCAGGAAATCCTTAAACCTCAGAGCAAAAATTGACTGCTGAGCAAAAGCAAAATTTCCATGAGAAACTTGCTTGATGAGGACTTCCTGAATATCTGGCACCAAACATTGTGTCTATGAAGTGCAACCATCAAAGTAAATGAGAAACCTCATGGCACAGAACTTACCGAGTCACTGAAGAGATGATTACCAGTGAGAGTTTTCCAAGATGCTCTTGGTTCCTGTATAAAGATCAAAATAATTAGAGTTAACATTGGCTACATTCAGATCAATCATACTAGGACAAGGATCACAACCAGTTTCCATCACATCATGCATAGGAAGTTGGGGCCTTTCCCTTCAATTTGATTCAGATCTAAAATTTCTATAAGAGAAAATGACAAATATAAAAGAACAAAGAAGAAGAAGAACAACAACTACTACTTTGCCAAGTTATCTGTTTTTGACTAAAACTTCTAATTTTGTCAATTTTCATCATGCACTATACATTTGTAACAACTATAGAGGAACTGTGGCACACGTTACTCTTCATAGGAATCTCAATTGGCAAAATATTTCAGTGCTAAACTAATTGAGGTTCTATCGTTGGGCATAATCTTCAAGACCTCACAGAAGATCTGGAGTTGCAATCTTCCCAGAAGAAGTCTTATCACTTTTTTCACCTCCCCAGACAAGAATATCCGTTCCAATTTTCTAATGTTCCATTTTCATCTTACTTTCAACTTATTTTATCAATTATCATTACTATTACACTCTATTAGCAATTAACAATTTCACTTAAAACAAATAAATAGACACAATAAAATAAAAGCCATCATACCAGATTCAAACAATTAAATTGTTTCAATATTTGTTGAGGATTCTGGACATAACCCCTCGATCTTTTATCAGCCTGCATTTAAATCTAAACAGTCACTAGGCAGATCAACCATTCTAGTTCCACAACATGATAAGCAAGTGGGAGTTCAAGTTTATGGATGACCAGTTACATGAAAAGAGCATTATCACCAACAATTTAATCAACCCATGTCCCACCTTCCAACTTGTACAAAAGATTAAATATAGATCTATTAATTAAGATAAGGATCTTTCAAAAATATAAACTTGTTCAACCCCCATGATAACTGAGGTCCATGTGTTGCAATTTTTGGACATAGTACAGAAATGCCTTGCAATGCTTGAACTCATTAAACAATTAACTATAAATACTTGCCAGTCATCAAGTTTGGAATCATCTACCTAGTCAACGATTAGTGAAGAGGATTTCCTACTTACTAGCCAAGTCATACTGTTTCCCAACCATACTATGCATGCTAAGTTCAACTTTTCAAGTTAATAAACTAGAAACAAACCTTCACTGTCCAAAAGAATTTAGAAAATAGGTGATCTGCCAGCATTGAGTGCTTAGCTTCACAATCAAATAAAACAAAGGAAGCAGAAGATCTATATCAGAGATTTCTGGAAATATGGCATCAGAGCTTTCATTTAACAGCTATCACAATTGTGCATTTGATATGTCAACCAAAAAGCAAAACTATGAAGATAAGCGGACAAGTTAAACATAAAATGCAATAATAACAGTACTTCTAAAAGAACCAGTAGCCTATTTATTTGTCCAGTCAACAAGTAACATGACCAAAACTATCAAACTAGCAGTACAAAGGCTAAAGATGGTGAATGCCGACTCTCAGTTTATACATGGTCTCTCTGTTTTGTTGTAAGTTCCAAACCATTCCAAAAAAGGACAAAAATGAGTAAGTTGATTTTTAAGCTTCACCTGTCGGATGGGCTCTGGCACACGATACTTGCAGGTCATTTTAACAATTTCAATGGCAGTGTCAAGTGATATACGGAAACCAATTGATATAAATATAGGTTTCACCGAGCCCTCAGTTGATCTCATTGCCTGTTAAAGAAACCAAATAATAATAAGGTTAACTTGAAGCACATTGCTGTGAAGCAAACTTCTGAAGAAGAGAATATTAAAGCATTAAGTACCAAAACAGATGTCTCAACATTTTATCAACTTCATTAAGTTCAAATGACATGTCTGTGACAGTTATAGATGCTCACTATAAAGCCAGCACTTCAAGATCTTTGAGGAACATGGGATAAAATAATTCTAAAGCACCTAGACCAGCTTGGCGCTGAACTGCACATTTTTCATATGTAATAATCTATCCAGGGAGCAACTAGAATCCACAATCAATTAAAAGGAAACTTCTCATAATAACTGCGACAAGTTAACAAACATAGGAATAATATATAATGATATAAATGGTCAAGTCCAAACAATATTTGATATTCCATGATTAGGAAGCTTTAATTTCAATAAAATGGTATACAAAGTCAAGAAAGGGATCCCATCTTAATTGAAACAAGGAAAAGAGGAGGAAAGGGGAAAAATAAAATAAATAACATCCATTTAAATGGTAAAAGCACTCACACACTCAAACCAATATGATATATCTAAATGCTCTTGAAAAGAAGAAAACAGATGCCAAATATCTTACCGCTCCATATACGCGCCCAGAGCGTCCTGTCAAAGTAATAAAAGTTTCACCACTTTTTTCTTTGTCCTGAAGACATTTTCTCACTCCACGTTCAGTAAGGCCATCCACACAGTGCAGCTAAAACATATTGAAAGTGGAAACTTCTAATGATTAAGCCCTTAAAAATGAACACCAAATGTGAGGACTTATTCTTGAGACAGAAAAACGCCAATTTGAAGTTTTTCGGTCACAGATCAGCAGGAAAATAGAAAACTTAATAGGAAAATATTCACAATTGAAATTAAGTAATACTACGAAGGAAGAAACTCTAAGGAACTTGATTTTTTACTAGAAAAAATCGTAACTCACTTTTTTTCCAATTCCAATGGTGGGAAGATTAGCCAAAACGCCTAGATGACAAGCCAAGCCAAAGCCTACATAAAAAAGTTTTATGGTTTATATATAGATACTCTCCAATGGAGCAAAATATAGGTAAGAACCTTCTATTTATGGAGTATAAATAGGTTTAATAAATTGTTGAAACTCTAGAATTTGCACTGATTTGTGTCATATATAAACACATGAAAAAATAAATACACACATGAAAGCCACTGGTTCAACATCTAGACTCTCCCCTCATAGAACAGAATAAATATATAATGATATTGTAGAAACTCTAGAATTTGTACTGATGTGGGCCACATATATAAACACATGAAAAAATAAATACGCATATGAAAGCCAAAGGTTCAACATCTAGACTCTACCCTCAAAAAACAGAATAAATATATAATGACTGAACTATTTTCTTGAGTGAGCTTTAATTAATATGTGATGCTTGATAAGGAACTGAATGTTTCAAGAAGAAGAACAGAAAAGAGACTTGCCTCGAGGATGTAGTATTCCATTACCATCAACCATTACCAACTGTGGACCAGAAAAAGAGAGCCTCATGTCAAAGAGTTTTAAATTCTCTAGCATATGGCAAGGTGATAAGAAAAGCAAGCAGTATGGGACATTAGCAGTTAAGGGGAAAAAATGTATAATGCATTGACTAAAGGAGTCACCTGTGGGTAGTAAGTACTATTATTGTTTTTCATCTTTTCAAGAAGCTGTAGAAGTACTGGAGCCTGAATTAGGGAAGAAAAACAGAAAGCATCTAGATCATTCTCAACACTTCAAAACAATTTGGATAAAAGATCAATTGTATGCATATCACAATATAGAAAAAAGGGTGTCACAATAAAACAAAAGCAGTTATATCATCTGAATAAAATTATAAAACAGAAAGAAGAGAAATGGTGAACCAGGAAGCCAGCAATATAAGGAACATGAAGCTTGACATGAGCAGAATCTTGGTACACGACTTTACTAGTTTGAAAATCCAGAACAACAAGTGTCCCACAAGCAATGGATTGGTCTTCCTTCAAGCAGCTCACGTCAACCCCACCAATATACTTTAAGACCACTTGATCAGCTTCTTCACCACTGGATGATGCGGGTAACTTCCATGCGAAATCATCCTCAGTGATCAATCTCTGCTTAAGCGAATATTGAATCCTGCAAAATTACCCATATGGGATCGTGGTAAGCAATTTGACTCGGATTGGACAATTCATCAAACAGAAGCTAGTCAACTAAAAACATGATCTGATCACAAACGAGAATTAAAGAAATTTCAATAATCTGTATAGTTACAAACTCTTTCCATCTCTGCAAAATGTCTGATGTTGAATTGGAAGTTGACGCTGATGATGAAGATGGTGAGGCTTCTTCTCCTCCACCGTTCATTTTCTTTTTCCACAAATTAGTACTAGTACAGTATTTAAGCTCAATTGCTGTTAAATCTCAAATGCTGCAGTTCTTCGATCTTCACAAGGTATAAAACCGTACCTAATACCCACTAACAACCATTTAACACTAAACTGTCATTACCTGATTCTCCAATTTCCTTTTCAGCCATAATAGAAAAAGGAACTAAACATTAAAAAAAGAAAAAAAGAGAAAAACAATCTCATTTCCTCCCTTTTTCTTTTTCTCTTTTTCCAGGAAAATTCAAAAGACAATACTGCAACTTTTTTCTGTTTTTTTTTTTACTTGATGCTCTACCTTCCTGGTACAGTTAACTGTATTGCCAATCCACGATTGCCTGATCAGAAATATGACAAATTTGAACTTCGAAATTCATCCGGTGAGCAGAAATGTTTTCTCGGCGGTAAAAAATTTTCATATCAAACAATTCGTTAAAATCAATTACAAAAAATCCAGCCTCATAATCAACCGTCCTATGAATGCGTAGACATTAATATAATTTATTTTATATACATCATATGTGGATTAATAAAAATTTTGAAGATTAAAGTTGTTACTTTAAAAATAATTAATCTAACAATCAACAATTTATTTTTTTCATAAATTAAATAACTTAATGGGTATAAATTCATAAAATTTATTTGTGTATCTGAAAATTTTTTAATTTAATATAAGTGAAAATAAATTCATGAAATTGACTAACTAAAATAATAATTAAAAATTTATCTCTTAATAAATTAAATAATTTATTTTGTATAGATTGCATATAATTTGTTTGTGTATCTAAAAAAAATAAAAGTGAAAATAATTTCATGCATAAACAAACTTTGAATGAGTAAAGATTTGCATTATATTTCTTAAAGTTTCTTAATATTTTAAGTAAATATTATACTTAATATTTTGATTACTAAATATAAAATTTATTCATAATTATAAAAATATTTATTAATAAAATTCATGTGAAAATGAATAAATTATATATATACATATATGTGTGTGCCGCGCCAAACAAACATGACATAGATTAGATATGAGAGATTAGAGTTTAATTAAAAAAAGAGAAAAAAAACTATATTGGTGATATATTTGTTTATTTCAAATTTAATTTAGCATAAAACTTTTTTTTTTTTTCCACATGCGTGAAACGGCAGTGACTCGCTTTAATTTAAATTACAAAATTTAATTGAAAATATTTAAAATATAACATCATGATTCAAAAATAGTAATGATTCAAATATCACCGGTATAGAATTTCCCTCTTCAATATTAAAAAGAAAAAAAATAAAAGATATTTCATGCATTTTTAACTTTTATAATGAGATCACAAACTTATTAGTAGTACCTAAATGCATAGTGAGTGTAATTCTTGAATTTTTGAATATTTTTATACTTCCATAATTCTCTTCATTTTGAGATAATTGAAATTCATATTTTTCTTTTCTAATCATTAACATTTTATTGCAGCAAATGTACAAAAGCATTTTTCTTTTTTCGTTTTTTTTTTACTAGTCAACACTTATCAGTATTGTTAAATCATCATCCTACCGTTATGACTAATGAGCATGTCAGAAAACAATTGGATAGGGAAGAGCGACGCCCTTCGACCCATTGATAAAACTTGAAAAAGCCACAAATTTTAGGTGAAACGGATCGTTTTCACTTTTCACCGTCGAAAGTAATGATAATGAAGGACAATTATATAAGCTGAATTATATAAAATATGAGAAAATAAATGAAAGATCACCAATATTGCTGTCCATGACCGTTCGATGTTCACATTTTCTTTCCGTCTTTAGCCATTCTGTTGTCGAATACAAGGGATATGAAACGTAAAACGACAGTCATTACGAAATCATTTCAAGGGTCACCACCGATTGCTAGTGCCAAGCACACAAATGATGCCATCTCCATAGCCTAAAAAGAAAAACCTGACTACGACTTTTTGGTACTACCTACCTCTCACAGATTTAAGGACAGCTTGAACAACCACCAAAACATAATTTCAGCTGAACAAGAGTCTTTTTATTTCTTGTTTTTGTTACTCTAGGAGAGATGAATAAAAAGCAACTTGATGCTATTTCTAACAGACATAATGCAGATGCATAAAATCCAAAGCAAATGACAAAAAAATATTTGAAACCATTGATAAGAATGAAGGAATACTATAGCCACATGAATTCTTTGTAATTAACAAAACTCTACCAATATATTCCACAATGATTAACGCAAATATTTTTTACATGTATGGGCTTACCAATTAGATTGGCTTGTTTCAGAGTAAAAAGTTAGAGGAAAGTTTTGCTTCAAAATCCTGTCTTTCACCATTCTGTTGATACCTGAATTAGACAATATATTTGGATCTCCTTCATGAAGTTCAACTTCAATGTAAAAATCTGTAAATGCAACATAAAAAAAATATAATTATTATCATAGTCAATTTTCCTAAATATCATTTGATGTTTCTCTATCAAGATCAATAAGCTCAGGTTAAAAGATTAGCATTATAAAAAGATCACTAAGCAATATTCCAAGTGACCCATGACCTAAGAAGATACGACACTGAATACGAGGTATGAAGACCAACGTTGCTAAGGCTGTCATGGTAGAGAGGTGTAGACTCTTAAGGCTGGGGAATTAATTACACGCTCCAACAAATAATTGATACCAGAATAAACTTTTTTTGGTTTCCAAAATAAGTCCAAACTTTGAGTTGCATCTCTTCCCTAGAAATGGAGAAGCATAAACCTAACACAAGAATCAGTGAGTAGGGACTTCATATGTCTTCACACTTAAAGAACACAAGGAAGTTCAGGCGTTTAAGAAGTTGAATGATCCTAACATATCACACTTAAGGAAATGACAGAATCAATGTTTGGCAGAAGCCTGTGGCCATCTCTCATTGTTAGAGACGCAACCTCAAACATGGCACTCTGTGGAGTCCTTTTTTTTTTTTTTTTTTTTTTTTATTAATTACAACGCTCCAAACAAATAATTGATTACCAGAATAAACTTTTTTTTGGTTTTCCAAAAATAAGTCCAGACCTTTGAGTTGCATTTCTTTTCCGCTAGAAATGGAGAAGATAAACCTAAAACACAAGAAATCAGTGAGTAGGGACTTCATATGTTCTTCACACTTAAAGAACACAAGGAAGTTCAGGCCGTTTAAGAAGTTGAATGATCCTAACAATATCACACTTAAGGAAATGACATAAAAGAATCAATGTTTGGCAGAAGCCTGTGGCATCTCTCAATTGGTTAGAGAACGGCAAACCTCAAACATGGCACTCTGTGGAGGTCCTTTTTTTTTTTTTTTTTTTTTTTGAAAACTTAAGTCTTATTTCTTGTTTCTATTTTGTCTTCCACTTTTGCCCTGATCTTTAAGTGTGCTTGTACAATTCCTTTTTTTTTTTTTTTTTTTTTTTGAAACTTAGTCTTATCTTGTTTCTATTTTGTCTTCCACTATTTGCCCTGATCTTTAGTGTGCTTGTACAATTCCAACATACATACTTTTGCCATTTCAGTGAATTTAATTCTTCAAGAATCTATACATTTATGGATGCATGCATACAAACATACAGGAAAGATATCCCGACATGCATCATAGCCCAAAACTTTACCTTCTCACTTTGCTCAAGGATCAAAAGTTCCTCCACTTCATATCAATTTCACTCATTTTTGCAGTCCTTGGTGAACACTACTATTCTTAGGAGAATCATAACGCCGAAGGGAATCAAGACTGAAAAGTTTTTTAGAGAGCAAAATTCATTTAGGGGGAGAAAAGGTCAAAATAATGGAATCTTAAAAGCAAGTTCACAAAATTAATTTAAATTCAGATAAGGCAAGATAAAAATGTTATCACACCTGCAGTTCTGTGGGACCCTCCACGACACAATCAATGATCTCTTCATGCTCGGTGGCAAAGACAAAAAATGCATCCAATCTTGAAGCATAACTCTAAGATCATGAAGCTTGCTATCCAAACCAAAACAGCAATTCGCATGCATTGTACAAACTAAACTTAAATCTTTGCTTGGTTCACACAGTCCACCAAAGTAAGCAGTGTCAAGGAATCTCATCTTTAATCCAAGATCCTCAACAAATGAATCAAACTTGATAAAATTAAGTACATCCTGATCATGATAACCAGGATAAGTCTCCCGAGAAGAGTACCAGAACTTGTAAAATTCTATTGACCGGTTATTGGATCTCACAAAGTTAAACCCACCATTGGGTTTGTTCTCGATATTAACAGAACTCCCTGTGAAATGATCACACGCAATCTGGAAATCTGCATCTGAATAAAACCGAGGAAACGGATCCCTGAACCACATGACATCAGCATCCTGGAGAAAGAACAGAATTGATATTAGATATACAAAAAATAATCTTGCGAAATTGAGTGGATCAGGACAAGATGCATATGATTGTCTATAGACATGTCAGCATCAATACAGTGGAATGTCGAAAAGGCTGGTAACAACCCCCCAACTTCCCCCTCTCCTTTACAAGTATGGAATCCATGATTCGAATATGATTTTGCATCTCACTTGCGACTTGAATGGCAGTGATTCATATACAGTCATTTTCACATAGCTCAGGGTTCAAATTACAACCAAATTATGAATATACAACAGCTTATTCATAATTATATAACTTACAAGGCAGTTCATAAATGTTTCAAACCAATACCTTTATGTTGAGTTTGGACAAAGTATTTGACAAGAAAATATTTGTACATAACAGTAAATAAGATTCCTAGGCATATATATATGAATGACAAAAAGTATAAAAAAGATATAATCACAAATTCAAATCAAATATGTTTCAGATTAATAAATCTAGTCAAGTAAAGATTGTAATGAACTCCATTCTAACAAATAAAACTAAAGTTAGTATTCAAATCCTCCATTTGCAGCTCTTCTAGTTGAATAAAACCCTTTTTTTGTGGTTTCTTAAGTGAATAATTCAAACTGCAATGATTATCATACCTCAAATAATAGCTAAAAGAAGCAAAAGAATCATAGAGATGAACAGAACCATTTAATGCATGTTATCAAGTCCGATTATGCCATTATGAACTATTACAAGTGTAAAAGAGATGATTACCGTAAAAACAAAATTATAACCCAGCTCAAGAACAGATCGTAAGAAGTCAATTCTTCTCCACATCATCTTCACATATGCAGGAGTCATAAAGTAAGCTTCCTTGCGAAAATCAATCCCCTCCGTAACAAGAGCAAAGCAATGAATATGCAATTCCATACAGCGTGTATATGCCTTCTGATCCAATGCAATAATCACTAAGTGGTTCAATAGCCTACGAGTATGCACCCCTATTCTAAAGCTCGCCAAGAAGAGATCAACAATTGAATTTGGGGCTGCCCATGCTTCGTTTAAAGTAGTCAAAATAACAGTTTTATCTTCCATGGCTGCATCTTCCAATACATTCTCAAGCTTTTGCTCATTTCTTACCTACATTAGCAACAATCAATAAAACATCTAGAGCTATAAAACCATAGACCATAACTAACAATTAACACTACTTCACTTACTAACGTGCGCCAAATTAAAACAAATTTTGAAAAAAAAAAAAAAAAAGTAGAAACCAAAGATATTCCGCTGTCCATCGTGCGCCTCAGAGTTCATATTTGCTAAATAGCACCTTCTAATCATTAAAATGTACGGATATGGATTCGCTAACCATAATTTTGCCATTAACGAGCTAAATTCAAACTTAATTAATACTAATTAATCAAAGGAGTAAAAAATGTACTTACAGGAACAGAATCGTTATCAAAAACTAGAGAAGGGAAAATGTGCGGGAAAGAAACAGAGGAACCGGAGGGAAATGAGAGGAAACGAAGAGAATCGGCGGCTCGATAAAGAAGCAAACAAGAAATACACAAAACAGCAAAGACGAGCACGGCGCGAGGAATGGCGGATTCCGGCAACATGTTAAAGGTGGCGGAGAAGTTGTAGACTGGCCTTGAACGGAGTAGCCTGGCCGGCAAGGGTCGTCTGTGGTTGTACAATCTGAACAATGGTCCGCGATTCATCGGGCAGCATGGCTTAGTGCGGTATTTATAGTCGGTTACAGAGAAAAAGAGTGGCGATATGATATATAAATTTGAAATGGATTATTAATTAGTATTGACGTTGTGATCTATAAGGGTGATTTTGGGGAGCGAGTGTATCAGATATCAGTTTGCTGTTCGGCAGTTCAGCAATAATGATAATTAATGAGGGAGGATCCTGACGCTTCCCTTTTCCGGTTTATGTATGGGGAGATGTAACTATCTAATTAACCGACAGTTTTTTTTTTATATATATTTGTTTATTGCTTTCTAAATTAATTCATGATAGACACATACTTCTTTTTCGTGTCTACTTACTATTTTAATAAGTTAGTATATTAAATCTCTATTATATTCCTATTTAATATTAATTGCTAAAAATAGCATTTTTATTTATCAATTTCAGTTTTTAATGTCATTATTAATGAATATATATCATATTAATCATAAGAATGTACACGCAAATTTACATTTTTTAACTAAAATAACTAATTTTTCTTAATTGAACGGAGGGAATAATTTTTTTTATTTTTTTTATTTATACCGCATTGTCTTTAGTCCATTAGACTAAGCTTAATCTTGCTCACACCATTATATTATTATATCATTATCATCATTATCATTATATATAATAAAGGAAAATATGGATTTTTATTACATATTGACATAACACTTCCTTTAAAAGAGAGTCTCTAATATTTGAGTATTTGAATATAACTAATTTAAGGAAAAATTGTAGGTTTTTGAACAAAAAAATTATATTTGAGTTTTATTGCTCTATTAATTAATGTCTTCATACTCTCCATTTATGGCTTTTAAACATAACGTGTCTTGATATTCTCTTATAATTTTTATGTATTTTAAATACTATAGCTCTTTAAAAATTAACTCTCTCTAATTTATGAGTTCTACGACTTTTAAACGTAATAGTTTTTTGTGTTCTTTTTTATTACGATTTATGAATTTTATAGATTTTATAACTTTAAAAATAATAGTTTTTTAGTATTTTTTTTTTTACGAGTTTTACAAAGAGAATCATGAATGCTGATGTGACACTCACTCCCTTTAGAGAGTGAAACCATATAAAATTTAAGTACTTTGATTTTAAATTATCTAGAAAAATTTGAAGATTTTGGAGAGAAAAAATGCCACCTTTGCCTCTCTCTAATTTATTACTTTAAACATAATTCTTGAATAGTAACTCTTTCAAGACTACTCTCTAATTTAAACATAATGGCTCGTAAAATTCGCGTATAGTTTTAAATTCTCAATTAGTTCTATATTAGAAGGTTAGGAGTGTTTGGAATAAAATTTACAAAAATTAATTTTGAGATAAAATTTTAATATTAAATTTGGTCTATATTGATGTTGGAGTGAAAAAATATATTAGTTATAAGCATTTTGGCTCAACAAAGGCAAAAATAAATACTTGCAACTAATGTTATTTTTTGCATGTGCCACATTAATTTTGAGATAAACTTTTAACATTAAGTTTATTTTAATATAACTAAAAATAAATATTTATAACTAATGTCAGTTTTTACATGTACCTTAATCTAATAAAATGATGACATAGCCATTTTAATTTGAATTTTTTTTTTTTGTCTTTTTATTTTTCTTCACCTATCATCTTAAGAATCATATTTCACTTTAATTAGCATACAAATTTTTAATTCTACATGATAATATTTAAATTTAAATCATGAAATATTATGTAGCATTGCGAAGCATGGAAGACCGCCTAATGAGGTCTATAAAAGAGAATCAATCCCAACTTAGACTTTTTACCTTCACAAAAATCGAAAGTCAAACATTTAATTTTTAATATTACTTAAAGAATGTGAGTTCTTTCCACTTAAATCAATATAGCTAAAATTAATTTGCCTCGTGACCTTTCTTTATGAAAATATAATTAATTCCTTGATTTTCTACTAATACTTTCCTTTTTCAAAAATACAACTCAATTTTTAATTCTTTAGCACATTTTTAATATACCTTGTTATTAATAATATAAGTAAAATTTGTAATGTTATTCAAATACTAATAATTTCAGTTTTCTTTTCTTTAAATTATCGAGCCAAAGATTACTGGGTTGATTAATTTGAATTAACAGACAAGCTCACTAAAGGAGCAAAGACAAAATAAAAAATGCGGAAAAATGCAGGACTCAAACTCGATAAGAAAACGTCTCATCTCACTTTTTAAAGTAGTTCCTCAATTTTTTTATTAATTAATAAAACTAGTGATATCATTGAAATTCTTTAAAATAATAAAATATTTTTTCCTTTTCCTGTAACAATTAAAATTGATAATATCATTAAAATTATTTCAAGTAATAAAAAATTATTTCAGAATATATCCTTCGATTCAAATTTGCTGAAGCAGAGTTCTCCAATTGGGTAGGGACAATATCTCACATCGACAAAAATAAGGCCCAATAACCAATGGGCTATAACAGTAATCAGAAGCCCAAGATGGACTATCTCTCTGTAATTCTCTCCCAGCTCCACCAAAACCAAGCGAAGAAGGGTTTTTGAAAGGTCTCTGTAACTGGAAGCTCGACGATAGAAAACTGAAGTAAAAGAAGACATCTCAATGGCTGAAGAAGAACAAGAAGAAACCAAGAAAGGGGAAAGAGAATCAAGATCAGAAAATCAAAATGAAAAAGAAGCAGCAGCAGAAAGAGAAGAGCTTAAAGACCAAGAGAAGGACAGCGAAACAAAAACAATGAAGCCATGGGAACAACATGCAGCAGTCATAAACTTAGCTCGTTTTGATTACAATGCACCTTCTGCTTTTCTTAATCGCTCTCACTCTGGCTTTCTTGTCACCTGCTCTATCAGTATGTTCGTTCCTCTTCATTAATTTTCAGTTTCTTTGTCCAGATTGAAATTTGAGTTCTAAAATGTTTCTTTTGTTCTTATATCAGAGAGGGAAAAAAGTGCCACTAAAGAAGTAATGTCTATCCTTGAAAAGGTAATTTTCTTGCTGCTAAGATTTTGAGTTTTGAACTCTTTCTTTCCTTTGATTGCGATGTTGTATTTTGTATGATGGTTCATATATTGCTTGATTTAGGAGGTTGGTATCTAAGTTGGAAACTAACCTTTAAGCTATTTCTCCGATGACAACAATAGCAGACTCTTTGGCTTACGGGAAAGTGTATTTGATATTCATTAATTCATGTTGCCCTGATTTATCTTTGCCTTTATGTTTCATCAGGTTAGAAAGTTTAAGTGATTTTGATTATCATATTTACAGTTTGCACGTGATACCATACCTTTATTGTTAGATGATTGAACTTCAGTTTTTCATTTGAACATTTTTTTTTGTCTAGAAGTTATCAGGAAGTTGCAAGTCTGAAACCAATTTGTTTGATAGTGGTGCAGCTGGTGCTGCTGCTACCCTGAAAGGAGATTTTGTCCAGTTCAATTTCTTTGGTAGAATGCATGGCTTAACAGTGCCATTTAGCTTATTTAGGTGTTTTTCAATTTCTTTGGTAGAATGCATGGCTTAACAGTGCCATTTAGCTTATTTGAATGCATGGCTTAACAGTGCCATTTAGCTTATTTAGGTGTTTTTCAATTTCTTTGGTAGAATGCATGGCTTAACAGTGCCATTTAGCTTATTTAGGTGTTTTTCAATTTCTTTGGTAGAATGCATGGCTTAACAGTGCCATTTAGCTTATTTTGGTGTTTCTTTAGTGTTGATCAGTAGCATTTTGCAATCTCATGGTTGGGATGGCAAGTTTTCCAATTATTAGAATGTTGAGAGGGCGCTTACAACTTCAATGAAAATGTAATTTTATCATTCCGAGGAAGTGATAGTGTTACTTTTTCTTGCACATGGTTTGGGTTCAGTTCAACAGGGAAAAAATGTCGACCCTTTTAACTTGTTCAGCTCCCTTGGCAATTTGCTTGATGAATTAGATGAGGACTGAAGTACACTTTCTTTTTGTCCTTTTGGAGTTTCTTCTGAAATATAACTACTGGCCTTGAAAGATATCACTTCTTGGAAATATATTTTTCTTTCAATATTAATACTTTGAGTTTGCGCTATTTTGCAGTATATTGCGTCCCATAACTGTGGGACCCCTGAATGTTTGGAAAGCTGTAGTGCCAGCCAAAGCACTAAGAGAAGGAAAATATCAATTGATCAAATAGGTGGGACATGTGCTGAAGGCAAGAAAGGCAAGAGCATTAATGATGGTAAAGGTAAAAGTATTTTAACCAAGAAAATGGGAGTTATGAATATGAATCAATCTTCATGAGTTGTTGGATTTTTTTCATTTTGTGATATCACTTGTATATCCTGATGATAGATGGGCTTGCAAAAGAGACAGATTCAATGGAAGAAAGAAGTTTTGCACTTTCTCTGGTCAAGTTGACAAGGAGCGGTTTGCTCCTTCTGACCTTTGTTGGAGAAAATTCCCCCAGCACTGTGGACATTTTATCAAATATTTTTCAGCGTCTCAATTCTGGGAGTTTAAAGTCACCTCTGTATGTTATCAACATGACTGGTAGATTTTTGTTGTCTTTTCTTACGAAAAGCATGGTTTTGTGAAGATCTTCAATAAATGTGAACTTGTTCCTTCTTTGTATGTTTGTATGTGCTCACATTTCTTCAACTAGATGTCGTTAAAATGTGATACTTTCTCTGGTATTCATATTTGTTATTCATCTGCGATGTTGCTGTCCATCTCCTCAACAGATGATACTATGTGTCATCCAACAGTCAGTTCCTTCCTTTATCTTTAAAAAATGTTATGTATCAAATATAGCTTGTTATCCTTTTTATCGCATCATGAACCTTTTCTCCATGTTTGTGATTTGCATTTGATCACATGTTGTGAGATGATAACATCTTCAAATGTATATAATATGTGCATATGTGAATAACACTTAGACAAGACTGCAATATAAAGCTTAAGAATACTATGCTACATAGGCATTTTTAGAGATCTAAAGATTATTCCTTATTCTATTAGGATTTTATACAAGTTAAAAAGAAGGGAAAATTAAAATATAATAAATTCCTAAATAAAAATAAACTCTTAATGAATAATAAAATACAAGTTTCCTAGCATGCAAAAAATCCCATGAAAATCTAAATTATCAAATCAAGAATTAAATTAGAACAACTCTTTTTTATATTTTATGTTTCTGGATTACATCATATACAAGTTGCTAATTGCCATATATATATTAACATTATAATATAATCAATTTTCTATATTAAGTCTATGGTGCCTGCATTTTTCTTTTATACAATTATGTGATCTAATTTGAACTAGCAATTAATTGATGCAGGTGGTGTCATCGCATTCTCCCTATCCAAGCTACTTGTCATCTAGATGAAAAGGAACTGCGAGTAGTCGTATCAAAGCTTGTTCTTCAATTCATGAATGACAAAGCAAACAACCTGGCACGACCTGTGAAGGTAAAAGTTTTATTTTGTAGTCACTGCAGATGTTTGAGCGATGCTGTGTGCAGTATATTAGTATTAAATTAGTTGAAGAAACTGTTAAACCTGCATTCCAAATCCAATCTCCATTGCTCTCTTTGCTCATTGTGAATGAAATGACTTACAAGACATGCCTGCCACTGAAATTTTTTCTATGTGCTCATTGGATGGCTCATATTTATTCGACAGATTTTCTACATAGAAAGACAGAACGAAGGGGTTGGGGAAAGAGAAAAATGAATGCATCAAAAGGTTCTAGCATTCTATCCATTGTTTGCCTTGCTTCCAAATATGAAAAATCCTTACTACATTGATGTTGAATGAAATAAGAAGCTGGAATTTAATTTTGTATCCAATCGAACAATTTATCTCTCTTCCATGAGCGTCTTGAATCAGAGCAACTATGAATGTGGATTTATCTTGAGAAAAAAAATTGCTAGTTTATGCTGCTCTGCTGCAAATTTATGCATTGGCTATGTTTAATCCTTTGATCTGTAGTTTGCAGTTGGGTACAACAGAAGAGGTATTGAAGAGACAACAGCAAAAGCTGTAAAAGATACATCAAAAGATTCAAATTTGTGTTCTTTGTTGGACCGGAACAAATGCTTTGAGGTTGTGGCATCTGCAGTTAAAGATGTTGTAGCAGATTCATATGTTGATCTCAAATCTCCAGAGGCAAGAATGTTTCCACATTTCAAAAAATTATAAATTTCTTTTTGCCTGTCTTATTTATCCTTTGGTCTAACTACAATAAAAAATCTGACAGCTTTCCATTCTTGTTGAGTTGCTGCCTCTTTCTGGAGTGCCCAACGGGTCATTATTCGCAGCCGTCACTGTTCTTCCTCAAAACCTCATTAGTGTAAAGCCAAGACTCTGCATTAAGCCATTGGTTTCTGATGCCAATGCAAAGAATGGAAAGAGTTGAAGTTAAACAAAAAGTAGCAGGAACTTTCGTGTCGATCAATAGTCAGCAGATAAAGACTCAAAAACACACACGATCACCTTTTATTCTCTGCTCTTGTTGACATCTAACTATTATTTTCTGCAGGAATTCCTATTCCTTGGCCTTTGGTAATTAAATCTCGTTTTTCTAATTATTTTGTTATTTGGATATATGAGGTACCTGGGAGTGGGACCAAGGCTTTTGGAGTTGAATTCCCATTCCCAACATTTAACAAAGAATTTACCATTTGCCATAATTCAATGAACTGGATTGCTAAAACTACAGTACTTAAAATTGAATGGTCATGCTTACGCCTTTTGATTGAAAAAGCGTCATTGAGTCTTTATTTATTTACATTGGAAGGTAATCAGAGTTGAAGGAGGAGAAGTAACTTTCTTTGAAAATTTGGGTTTTCAGGTTATTTTATATTGAAAAACAATTACTAAAATGGAAGTATGGCTAAAAGCCTAAGGCCTACCGGCAATCATTCAAAGGAGGATATTTTTTTTATTTGAAATAAATTGAAAGGAAGACATAATTAACAGGTAAAATCACATACTTCTCTTGAATTAAATATCCTACCAAAAGAATTATTTTATTCACTTTCCATCAAAATTAACAGAAAAGTTGGTATCTTGTTCAAAAGATATAAATCATTTCCATAAATAATTAAACACAAAAGGTGCTTAAAATTAATAATTACAATATTAAACAAAAATTAAATAATTATATAATTAATGCTTAAAATTAAACCATGCATATTCATAATTAACAAGTGAACACGGTTTGTCATTTTCTATTTTCTATTTTTTAAGAAAATTATTTTCTATAATTACACATTTTTAATATTAAAACTGTTTTCAATGCATATTTATTGAAAAATTCACTCCTTATATCTAGTAAAAATTTTGACTATTTAGCGTGAAGACTCATCATTTCCATAATCGATAATTGGACTATAACTAATTTATAAATGAGCCAAATGAATCTCGAATTTTGTTTATTTATAATTTATAGTTCAAATTCAAACTTTACTAATTAAATTTATTAAAATAATTTTTTTTTTTCCGCTAAGCCTCAAACAACTCATAAGTGATAACCAGGTTGGATGATTTACTACCTTACTACTACGGTACTACCTTCATTCAACAAACGAAAATCACCTTCATTCCACAATAGACTCTACACTTGCTATTATTAGATAACCAGTAATGCATTGATACATTCGGTTTCTACAAGGAGCATAGCTATGCAGGAGTCAAGTTCTTTGCAGATCACTTTAACAGTAATCTTTATGGATAATCCAAAATTTCCACGAGAAGAGTTTAATCAAAACGCTCGAGTGTATCTAATACTGTAAAAGAAATGGTAAGCTAAAGACTATATATATATATATATATATATAGTACTAATACTAAGTTTTCTCCTGTAATAGACAAATTATACCTATGATGGGAGCATTATACTCAAGAAAGAGGAGTTGGTGTCTCCGTAGAGGAGAAGCTCTACGGACACTATAGAGTTAAAGCTTATTACGCCCATCTCCTCAGTGTGAGATTTCCCATAAGGGGAGATTATGTGTCTTAGAGGCATTCAGCCATGGATGTATGGAAATTATTATTCTTAGACGTTCGAAACTTTTGTCCCTTAATATTGTAATAAGACCCTCAAAGATAACACGACTGGCTTTAGGTGACTTGCCATATATCTTTGATATCAGATATTTGCATATTATAGTCGATTTATTTTTCCCATTCAATTTAACATCACTCACTTGATAAATTAATCAAAATTTTTAGAGTCTGAGAAATTTAATATTATATTTCTCAATCTCCGTATCTGTATTAATATTATACTTCTCGTCTCAGATAAGAGGATTTAACATTATACTTTTCATTCTCCGTATTTATACAGATAATTTTAACAGCTCACAGTAAAAGATTTTTAAAAATTGTTCTCATTTTACTTTTTTTTTTTTTTTAGTTGATAATTTTTAACGAGTCCAGTAAAAGATTTTTAAAAATTGTTCTCATTTTACTTTTTTTTTTTTTTTAGTTGATGGTCCAAAAATACTCTAATCTTGAAAAATGGGTATTTTTCCCATGTGATATGGAACGCATTTTTCTTTTTTTTTTTTTTTAGTTGATGGTCAAAAATACTCTAATCTTGAAAAATGTATTTTTCATTGATTAATGGAACCGCAGTCGGAGTCTAAATATGCCATTTTATCTCTATCCAAATGCTCTTGCAAGTGGATGAACCGCAATAAATAAGCATCACAGGAGATGTTGGAGTCAACATGAGACAATCAATTTCCATGACTTCCGCTCAATAAATATACTAAAAAGCCTTTCGTAGCAAGTAGTAATTATCAAGGACCTTATACATGATCATTTTCCACATGCAAATTCAATATTTTCGTGGCTTTAAAATGTCATATAAAGCAAGACTCAAAGCTATACCAAAGGGAGAAATTAATGAATAACAATGGCTAAAAATTAAAATCTAATCAAAAATTTTTTTTAAAAAAATGAACTAATAAAATATTCCCAAAAACACTGAAAAAGATAGAACTTCAACAACAAAAACAGATTTGAATTCTCTTTACACGAAGAACATTAGGTACCACAAAGAGCAATAGAAAGGTCTAAGTTAATACTACGTTTTCCAGTAGAAGATCCCGAACAGTCTTTCAATGCAGAATATGATGAGACTGCCTCGCTTATCTCGCTTGTCGAAGATGCATTACTTCTCTGTGATGGAAGATGTGGCAATGACAGCGATAACGACAACTCACAGCAGCCACCACCTTCCTCTTCTTGGGCTCTTCCACTTCCAGTAGCCTCATCAGGTTTGCAAATTTCTGCATCTGACTTACATTTCGAATGATCTAGCTTTGCAATCTGCGACACAAAGTACTAAAAGTTCAGTAATAACCAATTAGCACCCTTTTGGTATTTGAAGAATTTGAGATTCTTAACAATCAGAACATGCCAAATACAAAATACGTAGTTGATACTTGCAGCTATAAATTTAGTTGGGGCAGTCCAGTAATTCGATAAGACCGAACGGTACGGTACTGACACCTTTAAGAAGAGTAGGATTTACAGTAGTGTCTGTATTCTCCTACATCAATAAATAAGTATTTTGAATTTCCATTCTGTCTTCCGTTCCCTATAAAAAAGAGGTCCCCATGTATAATAGTAATAGGAATAGTAATAACATTGGACCACAGAATGTAAGAGTTTCTGCCTATACTATCATTTTCTGGAAGGCAGCCTAGGGAAAATTATTAGTTATGCAGATTAAGAAACCCTACAAATTTAGATTTATAAGATTTTTTAGTGTAAGAAAATTAAGTAGCTGGTAATATCTAGATATTGTACAGCTTAAAATTAATAAAATTAATTTAGTTTCTAATAATAAATTTCTACGAAAGCACTAATCAATCCAAAAAAAACCAATTGCACAAACAAAAAAGTTAAAAAAACCCAAAACAAGAAGTCTCTTGGAAAATAATAACCTAAAAGTTGAAAAACAAGCTGCAAGTATAGAAAATGTCAAAAGTTCATATTTGAAAAAGCAGCAGCAAGTAAAGTAGGCTTTTGAAACCCAGTTAAGAAACAAATCTTCAAGAAAAACAAAAAAGAGAGAGAGAGAGAGAGAATTTATTAATTATTTTTACGCCACTATATAAGGAAATAAAAGAAATAAAGATAAATAGCTCATTGAGAAAGTGTGTAAAGTCCAAGTCCTCGCCGTAACAGGCAGGAGATACCACACTGAACAGTAACTTTACCTAAATTAAAGCTGTAAAATGAAAACACTTTTGCAACCAAAGGGATGACATAGCCTCTAACAGGTTGACCTAAAAAGTACATGGATATATTCCAAACCTTCAACTGGTCATAAGAGTGGTTAACTGGAAACTGCAAAGAAAGGCCACACCTTACAACATGACTAATTGGTTGAAACTCGAAAAGGTAAAAACAAATACCAACATTACACTCAACCCCAGTTAAAAAGACTGTCTACAAACTGAAAAGAAAGAAAGAAAAGAAAAGGGTTTTTATTTTTCTGATGTACCTTTAGAAAATCAGATTCTTGCACTGCATATTTGAAAGAGTTGAGGCTGTAAAGATCTTGTGGCAGAGAGAAGCCTGTTGATTTGGGTTTAGAATGAGTCTGCTCGCATCTGAAACCACCACCACTGCTACCATTACCATTACCTTCTCTTATTCCCATATAATCATCAAGAAAGTACGGATTCATTGCTGTCTCACATATTCCTTGGCTGCATTGCAGGTTTTTATCAGAGATTGAACTCCTCGTCTCGATTCTTGATCTGCAGAAAAAGAGAAATCAAACAAAAAGAACTTGAAAAAGAAGATAAAAGAGGAGCGAGAGTTGAAAAGAAAAGATCGTATATATATATATATACATACATACATAAAACACTGCAAATATTCTTTTGTTTTTTTCTTCAACTATATATTATATATTTACTTTAATAATATAAGCTGACCTTTTTGAAGGGAGAGTTGTACTGTAGATGAAGTGAGAATCTGATTCTTCAATGGGTTTTACTTCATCAACGCAACATCCATCATCAAAAGATTGTCTTCTTTGGAGGGAAGAATTCCTATCTGTCAAACAAAGAAAACACACAAAAAAAGAAAAAACATTATTTTTCAAGTTAAAGAATTAAACATAGGCCTTTTATGACACTAGTAGATGAGTCTTTTGATAGAATTTAAGAGGAGAGAGTAATGGCAAGTAGGTCTATTGCATTTAACATGGGTTCGATGCAAAAGAACATCAAGAACAGCTAGATTGGCAATTGGGTTTTCCTGTGGGTTTCATCAGAAATACTAATATTAGAAGATCTGAAAGGGATGCAAGATTATTCTGTTCTCAACTAATTTGGCATAAAAATACTCGAGTGTATATATACATATATATGTGTGTGTGTGTGTGTGTGTGAAAGAGAGAGAGATATATAATAAATGAAGTGAGGCTCCTACAGCTACTTCTTTTCCAAAACATGCGTTTACATGTGAAATTCAAAATCTTTGATTCTGAACGGCGGATAAGAACCATTAGAGGAAAGTATAACACAAAGTCTGCCACTAATGCATATACACTAACAACGATGGATGATTCAGAACCTGATGCAGATTTGAAACATGAAGAGCTTTAAGGTGGTCTTTATATAAAGAAACACCAGTAAATCCTTTTAGATACATACCTTGTTTGCCCAGATCACTTCTCATACTTCTATACATCTGGTCAACACAAATCAAACCATGTAAGAAAAATTAAAATAAAAAGAAAGAAAGACCAGAAGTTTTTAAAAAATGGGTTAAAAAAAATAAAGACCTGGAGATGGCTTTTGACGTGTGAAATGGTTAGTCCTTTGACATCCATCAACTGAAGAACAAGCTTAGGAGTGGCTTCTACATATAATTACAAAAATTGGAGGTGAAGAAACAAAAAATAAAAATATTACAAGAGATGAATAAACTAAACAATCAAATTAAAGCATATTTAAATCTAAAAGACTTACTGTCTTGGCCACCAAGCCTTTCAATAGCATGAACAAAGCAGTGATGAAGCTCAGGAGTCCATCTCAAGCGAGGAACTTTTGATCTTATATATTGTCTAACAGTTCCACTTCTTCCACAACTACCCATATTTTACTTATCAAAAAATCCAACTTGGTATTCAAAGGAAAGCAAATTTTCCTCTTAAAGACCTTTCCTTTAATGGTTTCTCACCGTCCAAACACACTTGATCGACTTTCCTCCTCAAAAAAAACTTGTTTTTCTTATTCCATCAAATTTCTTGGAACTGTCAAGCTAAGGTAATTTTTAAGCAACAGTAACACTAGTAACAACACAAGCAGGCGAAGGAGGCTTCAAAAGGAGTGGCTCATAAACAAGAAATAAAGAAAGAGAAAGGTACTTATAAGTGTACCCAAAGGGTTTTTCCTTTTTTTTTTTTTTTCTTGGTTTTGAGAGAGAGAGATACAGAGAAAGAGAAAAAAGATCACGAGAAAAGGAAGAGACGTTGCTGTAAATTCCTTAAGGAGGACTGATAATATCTGCCTGCTGCGTCTGGTTCAGTTCTGTTTCTACCCTCTCTTTTGCTGTTTGCAGAGAGAGAGAGAGAGAGAGAGAATTAAAAGAGAATTCTGATAATCACGAGTTTCTGATCTTCTTCTTCACCGAAAATCATTATATGCTCTATATAATATAACAACACACCAACCAACTGCTTTGCTTTGACCTGTGTTTTCTCTCTCTATATATCTCTCTCTCTTACATAAAATCCTATAATACGCCAACGTCGTCATGATCACAAAATGCCCATGAAGATTTCTTTTCTTTTCCTCTTCTTTTTTCTTTTTTTTTTTTTCCTGTTTCCAAATTAGAAAATTATGGTCGCGGTGTCATTTGGGAGTTGGGACACCCTTCTTCAGTCTTCAATCTTGACTGCATCGTTTCCAGGGGGAACTCCGTTTTCTTATCACCTTTTCACCCCTGTTAGACTGTTACTTTCTTCTATACACATTTTTCTTACTTACTAATTTTATTTTTGTTTGGACATTATGTGGCAAAAGAACTATGCAATGTAACGGGGATAAACTTCTCATCCATAAATTAAAATAATAAAAATGAAATTTTTTATTAAAATATAATATTTCTGATCTTACATTAAGAAGAAAATGATAAAATAAGAATAATTTTTTAAAAAATTTTTATTTTTATTGATTTGATTTATAGTTGAAATTATATACTTGGTCTAGACAAGTATTTCTCAATAATAAATACTATTTCCGTTTCATAATATTTGTCACATTTATAGTTTTAAGGATATTTTTTTTTATATTTATCCTTCGTATATAACCAATAATTATTACTTCAATTTAACGAGTTTCTTAGATAATTAATACTAAATTAAGAGTAATATAGTCAATTTACTCAATAATTTATTATAACTTAGACAAAATAAATAATTTTCTTAAAAGATGAGAAATTCTAAACGTGACAAATATTATAGAACAAAAATAGTACATGTGTGTTACTGTCATAATGTGTGTGTATATGCATATTTATTTTTATAAATCATTAATCCACATTAATGTGCTTAAATTTTTAATTTTAATTTTTAAGATTGCATTAAATAGCAATGGATACATACATTGCATTATTATGTATTTTTATAAATCATTAATCCTTATTAACGTATTTAAATTTTAATTTGTAAGTATACATCAAATATCAATTTATATAATAATGAAAATTTTCGATATCAAATTTTATATAATCTTTTTATAATCTGAATGATTTATAGGACATATGAAATTAAAAAGTTATAAATATATTACGATATTATAAGTTTTATTTTCTCTAATATTTCCATTTGTCCACTTCAATCACTTTATTGCTCTTAAGTTTTTCTCTATGTATATTTTTTCTTTTCTCATGTATACATATATGAGGTGTTGAAAGAGTTAAATCCAAAGATTTTTCTATAAAATCTAATTAGTAAAGAGGAAGAAATTTTTAAGTTCTTCTATGTCATAAATATAATTTATTTAAAAATATTTTAATTTTTAGTTATATATAGTTTGCATTTATTTTCTAAATGTAATGTTTGAATTTGGAGGTCTCAATTATACCTTCAATAATTGAGTTATGATTTTTTGTGCAATAATTTTTTATTAATTTATACATTTACGAAGATTAAATTTTCTTTTCGCTAATTATATTTTAATTGAGATCGTAATAATGATGATTTTAAATTTAACTCTATATTTTTTAATTCCTGCTATTATAGTTTTGGATTTCAAGATTCAAACTCGATCGTGTTTAATAGTTTTACTTATGCAAGTAATAAATTGATGAACATCGTATTGCTATTTTAGAAAAAGAAAATAAATATCAGCAATAAAAAAGTTAGTGGTAGTTTTTAATTTACATCGACCTACCAAAAACATATCTTTTATATTGTACAGCGCTACGGCCAGGCGTGCCCCTTTTATAAAAAAACTGTAGTAAATCAAATTTCACGTCAAGAAAATTGAAAGTCAACTATTCTGGCAAGAAAAGACACGAGAGCCTCAAACTGGTCCCACAGTAAAAACAAAATCTCGCAACAAAATCCAGACCGTCCATTCACTTCCTACAAAAAACCGGCACGTATCCCTGGAAATATCAACGGCCAGATGGTGAGCAAGAAGATCACGTCAAGAAGCGGACGACGGTGAAGAAAGAGTATGTATTATCCGCGTTTGGAATTGGAATTTGGAATTCTGAAATTCCTAATCAAATCAATCACGTTTTCAAGTTTTCTAATATTTTGTTTTTTATTATTGAAAAAGAATAAATAAAATGATAAAAAAGGATCTATTAAATGCTTAGCATAGGCAGGCACGTAGGGTGTATGTACTAGCAGAATGTGGGCGCAAGACTTTGACAGACGGTGCCGACTGTTGAAACACTCGTACCATTTTCAACAATTTATACTATTCACCTATTCCTATATTAATCACACTAGTTAATCTTCTCCTAAAAACACATTAGTTAATATATTTAAATAACTAAATAAGTTAGTTATCCAATTATTAATGATCTAATTGGAATTTTCATTGATATGAGAAATATTCTCGGATTAAAATCTCTGTACTACAAATGTTTTTAAGCGAATCAAAGATTAAAAATTAAAATTACTTAAGATCATAAATCGAATATAATTAATTAACTTGAATAATCTAATTAAAAAAAAATAAATTAGACCAAGTCAATTTAACTTATAAATTTGATTGATGTATATTATTTACCCCATTTATGCTTGTCATGTGTGCTTTTTGAAAAAAAAAGTTAAATATATTTTTAAAATGAGGTTGTAGAAATTCAAATAATTTTATATAATTAGTTAAAATAAATAACGTTCTTCTTGTGATAAATTACGAAAATGAACACTTAGCTTTTTACTCCTCCCGGACGCTAGATATGTGCAATTGTCTCCCAATATATGGAAAGCACCTCGTGTTAGTGTTGGTAAATGGAAATTGGGACCAACAGTTTAGATTATATAATCTATATGTAATTTTTTTTTTTTTTTTTAACGAGTCTATGAAAATGATATATCGGCCACATCCACACACACACGTTTTTCTTTTTCAGAATTCGATTATAAATTTAATCTTAAATTAAAAAAAAAAGCGTGCAAAATTAGCCACCTCTTCTTTGCATACATATTCCAAATAATAAGGAAATATATTTTTCCAGAAATTAATGAAATGTATCAATGTTGATCGAGGCCTCCTAATAGAAATTACAAACATTTTAATTGAATTATTCATTAAAAAAATTAAATTTCCTATTAATAGAGGCAAAATTCATAAAGCTCGAGAGAATAGTGAAATTGCTATTCAGCTGATAAGGCCTCCTCCTATGGGACACTATAGGAGTTTTTATAATACGTTTCTTATTGTAATTGAAAATATAAATTTATAGTAAGAGTTTCAATCATGATCATTGAGAATGATCTCGATAATTAATGACATTTATTGATTATTTTGATTGATCGTTACTTTTATTCAAATGGATACAGAATATTATTCAGTCTTACTTAGTTATTCGGTTTATTCCACCTAACTGTTCAGTCTTTAAGTTGTTCAGTATAATCTAATAATCGTTCTTATCTCCTATAATTAAGAGTTCAATAACAATTTGAACAGAATTAGATTGTTACACACACCGTGTTGTCCGACATTGCCAGTCTTGAAAAGGACTAAACAATGGGTTTTGAAGTTTGGTTTGTGCAAGCAAATGTCTAAATTAACTTCACCGTTTAGAAGAGAATGAAGGTCATAGATAATAGATTCTTGTAATTTTGTAGAGTTGTTCAATGACAAAGAAAAATTCATGCATGGATAATAAATGGTTGGTTGAATTAAATTGTAAATGTTGAATTCATGTATTGCAATCCCTAATTAAAACACGAAAGATTGACAAAAATGATCATCAATTTACAGTTGTCATCTATATATATAGAAGGTTTTGAAATTTAGAACTTTACTATAAGTTGCTTATTATTAGAAAAATTAATAAATTTCATTTGCTTAATAAAAATTATATTTATAAGTATTTTTATTATATATTTTTGACACTTTAGTCCATTTGGTTTTCTTATTAAAAAAAAAAAAATTGGCACGACATTATTCATGCGGTTTTCCATAGTCACATCTAACAATTTAATTTTTAGTATCATAAGCTAAACCTTCAATAGGATAATTTGTCAAGATAATTTTTTAATTTCAAAAAATAAAAAAATTCGTTTGATATGAAGGGCCCAAGTTGATATTTAAAAACAAAGCCTATTTTTCAGAGATAAAAAGACGAGAAATTTTTTTTTTTAGAAAAAAAAAAAAAGAAGAAAGAAAATTAGGACAGTGAATAGAGAAATAGTAACAATGCCCCCCAAAGTTTGATATAATTAAAAAATGGCCCATTTTCTATTTTATCTGGTCATGGCAAAGACAAAATGGCATTTACTAAAATGGCAGTGTGCCCTTCGCAGGTACTCTCTCTCTCTCTCTCTCTCTCTCTCTCAAAGAATAACGTTATGTGCTGTCACCGTAGGGAATTATCATTACTCTGTACTATTCTACTCTACTCCTCGGGATACGCGCACTTAAATCGTTCCTCTTTATCACGCGCCGCATGTGTTAGTTCTTCTGCCACATTCCAAGCGCGTGATTCGAATGGAATATATACTTGAGTTGAGATGGTTTGGTTTTGAAACCGAATGCGTTTACTTTGGAAGCAAGAAGCAGTGATCTGATGTGGTAGGTCTATAGATAGGGTTTGCTAATGTTTTGTGATGTGATGTGATTGGACTTGGCTAGGGATATTTTAGCCTCCTGGTTGGTCTTTTCTAAATCCAAAATTGATAACATTCTATTTATTTACTTATTTCAATAATATTTCTCAATCTCCGAGAATTAAATATGATTTTTATTAGTGTCAATTTAATATTACGAATTATAAATAACAGCCTTGTTCCGCCACGCCTTTTTATCACAGTGTTCAGTTATTTAACTCATTCAAATTATTATTTATAATATTTATTAACGTTACGTTTCTACTCATATTTAGAATTTTAAAAATAAATTATAAAACATTACTCTTATAAAATCATTAACAATTAATAAAAAATTTAATAATTATTAAAATAATTAATTTACCAAACATTCGCTGAATATTCAATTTAAAAGAAGTCTCTTATTTTTTATATCCTTCGATGTAATAAAGAGATAAATATAATAGAGCTAATTGGTTCATTTTTTAAGAGAATTTTATCATTATTGAAATTTA